CCCCGTGGTGGCCACGTTTGGTGGCCACGTTTGGTGGCCCTGGGGGGGGATGGGGTGGCCCGGGGTGGAGGAGGGGGTGGTGGTGGTGGTGGTGGTGTCTCTCCTGCCGACGGCCGGTCTTGAGTTTCCGTCGATCATTGTATTCCGAGGGTGGCTTATACTACCTGAGATTTGTGCATGTTACATTGTAGTTGTAACCTTTTCTAATTCGGCAAGAATAAGAGATGGTTGTGATTGTGCAGTGTATCAATAAAGTTTGACGAACTTTGTACCTTCGGGGCTTTGCTTCCCGGACAAACCCCCCCCATCATACACCCCAAGAAGGACCCGGGGTTGGGGGGCAGCTCCATCCCTTAAATTGGAGCTTCTTTTGGTTACCCCCCATGCTTTGAGCTCCCTGGACTTGTTTGACCCATCCCTTGCCCTGTCCCCCGTGTCCCCCCTCCCTTGGAAACGGTGTTGTGTCTCCTCCAAAGGGTCCAAGGTCCCCCCCACTGATGACCACGTACCTGCTGATGGAGCCCCTCTGGGGTAAGGACCTCCTTGCCAAACCCTCACCCGTGTTTGGCAAGAGCAACGGGATCGGGAGCCTCCTCTCAGTGATGGAGATGTCCCCAGCGTCTTCTCCATCAACGCTGGCTACGACAACTAGACCTACCCAACCCTGCACAAGCAACACCTCTGCAGACAACACCCTCCTGAAGATGGTTTGCTCCTATCATCGCAACCCGAGAGCACGCAACACCAAGGATCTCCATCAACGCTCAAAGATGGCCAAGCTACAAACTCACCCTTAAAACTGGACCCCCTGCTTACCAGGAGACACCATGCTCTTCTACCCCATCAACGCTCAACATGGACCCCTGCTGTGGGGCTGGCTGACAGGACACTTCATGACCTCCCCCCGCACCTCCATGTGACCCAGGAGGTGGCCACTGATGGCCTCTGGGCTCCCCTCGTTTCTAAGTGATGCTGATGGAGATCGTGTGGTTACAAAGTCCCCGTTTTTCCCTAGAGAAATCCAAAGCCTGATGTCCCTGGGCTGTATATCCCAGGATGGGAGGGCTTCTGGGGACATCTGGGGTGAGCAGGGGGACAATACTGGACCCATCAAAGGGTTGCTCGCTTTCAGCCATCCCCTTGGTGGGACCAGAACCTCCCTTTGCGTTCCTCAACGAGCAAATGAAACACCTGGTCCAAAGATTGTGTCCCCAACTCCAGCAACTAATTACCCTGAGCAAATAGCCCTGTTCGGGCCCTGATAAGACCTACTACAACCTCACACGTTGGGGACCCCTCTGCTGTCCCCCCTGGAGTGACACCCCCCCCACACACAAAAGGTAAGTCCTTCCCAAAGCCCAACGGTGTCCCCAGTACAGGGGACCAGGAGGGACAAGCCCTCTTGCCTGCATGATGGTTTCCCAGCTGCTTTCTGGGCTGAGCATGGAGGAACCGCCCAACCTCAGGTGCTGGGAGCCCTCCATCCCCACCTCCATGCTCCCTGGCTTGGGACAAGACCTATCCTCCCTGGTACAAGGGGTGAGTTGAGTGGTACCAACCAGAAACCCTCTCTGCTCTGAGCCTCTTCCAGAAAAAAAACATTTTTGATTTTAGCCAGCCAGTTCTGGGTATCACAGAATCTTCTAGGTTGGAAGGGACCTCAAAGATCATCTTGTCCAACCGTCAACCTGACTGACAAAAATAGACACCCACACAACAAACAAGGAGCATCATCACTAAACCAGACCTCCCAGCACTACATCAACCCGTCTTTTGAACACCTCCAGGGATGGGGCCTCAACCCCCTCCCTGGGCAGCCCATTCCAATGGCTGAGAACCCTTTCTGTGAAAAAATTGTTCCTAATATCCAGCCTGAACCTCCCCTGGGGCAACTTGAGGCCATTTCCTCTCGTCCTGTCGACTCCTCACATCCATCCACCATCACCGAGCGCCAGGAAGGCAACACAGCCCCGTTCCACCTCCAACCCAGCCTGAGGACCACAACCAGGACCAGAGGTACCGGGGGGCACGTTTCCAGCCTCCTCTCCTCCCCCAGCAACCAGAGACAGTGCTACATATGTAAATAATAAATAAATGTACCATCCAAGCAGCCTGTTGCTCTTTAACTTACTCTTTGTCCTGCAACCTCCAGGATGGGACGCTTGTTCCTCTCCTACAGCCCCAGAACATCTACAATTCCAGAGGGGAGGTGAGGGTGGCAGCCCCGTCACCTCCATACCATCCTGGGGGGATCATGGGATCCCTCCCCGTGCCCTGTATCTCCAACAGAAGTCCCAAGACCTCCACAAAGACCTCCACCAGCTTTTCCCCTAGAAGAAGCTGAGATACATCTGCTGCCAAAGACAAAACCGGCCACGAACTCCTTCTCCTATAAACCATGGGCACCAGGAGGGCTGGCCCCAGCCCCGTGTCTTCTTCTGCGCCATCCCCACCCCGCATCCTCCCTGCCCTGGCCCTTACTTGGGATGTACTGGGAACCTTGGAATGTGGCTCTTCCCTCGCCCCGTGCCGGTCCCGCTCCGTCTCTACGTGTCACGCCGCGACGCAACGCCCGAACGCCCCCTCTGGCTCTCTGCCTGTCCTCCGTCCTCATCGCTTGGGTCACACCAACGCCTAGTAGGGTTGAGAAATAAAACTGACACAAAACAGTCCCACCACCACTGGGATTCTGTAGGATCCTACAGAAACATTCCAACTGGCTTGAAGAAGACGGCACCTGGGAGGCCTCAGTGGAATCTGAAGACCTCACGCACCGAGAAACCTTCTGGACGTGGCCAGAAGACACCAAGATGCCATCCAAGAACCATCACTAGGGTTGTGCCCCATTTCCTACACCCGCCTCATGTCCCTGCTTCCCCTGGGACTCCCTTCGGAGCATCCCCCGCAACGTTGTGCCGACCAAAAGGACACGGGTCTGAGGACCTCACGCACCGAGAAACCTTCTGGACGTGGCCAAAAGACAACAAGATGCCGTCCAAGAACCATCAATAGGGTTGTGCCCCGTTTCCTACACCCGCTGCTTCCCCTGGGACTCCCTTCGGAGCATCCCCCGCAACGTTGTGCCGACCAAAAGGACACGGGTGTGATGGAAAGTTCTGGGGGTTCCAGAGAGCAGGAGAAACATCTACTCACCAAAGCCTTACCTGTGATGGCATCCCCTCTGGGCTCGCCGGTGATGTCCAGGTGACATCTCTCCGACCTTCTCCTGTCCCATCACCGTGATTCCACCCTGTGTCCCTCATCCCTCCCCGTCCCCACCGGTGTTGGGGGTTGTGTGTTGGGGGGTGGAGAACCTCATCTCCCCGCGCCAATGAGCAACCACAACCAGACGGAGCGGCCACATGGAACAATCGTTTTAATGGATAGGCAGAGAGAGCCCCCCTCGCCGCCCCCACCCCGTGCCCGGTCCCCCCCC